ATTTTGAGAGTCAGATTAGATACAGTATTTGGCCTGAGTAAAGAGTGCTAGTTTATTTAGGGTTGCATTCCTGCATCAACACAAAGTATTTCACATCAAAGATGCCTGCTGGAGGTGGAGGATTAAAGCAGAGGCCTTGCTGCATGTCCTGTAGGTCAATATGAGGAGATTATGCCTGCTGGAGGTGAGTCTTTTTGGATCCTGCAATACCCTTTTTTGTCCAAAAGAGGGCGACATAGCTCAATGGTGGAGACAGGGGAATTTTGGCTGTCATACTGTACACAGAGAGATGCACTCAATGAAGTAGATAAATACTTGCTTTTTGAGTTTGCGAAATAGGAACATCTGTTGATGGCTGATGCTTGAGTTTCTTCTTCTCCTCTCCTCTGAAACCGTCCTCTCAGGCAGCCAACTTCTGCTTCTTTCAGGACAGAGTCTGTGTTTCCAAAGAGGCAGTCAGATATCCCACATCAGCCAGTAAAAAAAAAGAATGAAGGCGGGAGGGGGGTTTTGAAGAAACATCCTGAGTCATACAGAGAGTCTAAAAGGGGCCTCGTATGCCAGCGGGGGGAAAGGAGGACAGCATCGGGGCGGTGTCTCCACCATGGGACTTTTTTAAATTTATCTATTTAACATTAAGATAAATATAAATTACTGATATATAATATGAATTAACAATAAAGCACAATTAAAGGAGTTAAAAATAGTGTATAAAAGCATGCATAAAAAAAAAAAACACGCGTGAAGGAAAACAAAAAAAATGTATACAAGGAATTCCAGACTGGAGGGTGGTGGAGGAAAGGAAAAGAGGGACTGGAGGCCCCATATCTGGAGCAATGGTGACCTTATTCATCTAACCACTGCAGGTCCAGCCCCTCTCCTCTAAAGGACTTCCGTTTCACACCGTAGTCAAATTTCAGTTCGTCATCCACTTTAATTTCTGTCAGGGCCTTGAACAGGATTACCACTGTGTCCTTCCCATCAACATGCAGCAGGCACTGAAGCGGCTTCAGATTTGGCCTTTTTGAAGAATGGTTTATTAGTCTTCCAACCGTCTCCAGCTCTGGGTGACACTTGCAGGGATGGGTTTGGGCATCAATGCAGAGATGCTTCTCCCGAAAAGTGAAGAAAAACATGTATGCCGCATTGTCAGTTACGGCCTCGATCTTCTTATTCCCTTTTTTCGCTGTGATGACTTCACCATGGTAGTCACAGATGATGTCACCTCTTGAAAACTGCCTGGTTGCAACCACTCCTGTAATCAAGAAAACGTGAAATTTTCAGTTATATCGAAATATGAACTGTATAAACATTACAGATTGGAAAACATTTCAATAATTTTTGTTATGGGTGGAGCTAAGGGTCAGCCCAAATTACTGAAATGCTCATTTCAGTGACTCCTCTTACAAGACAAATGAATTTTGTCCTTACCGAGCCCTTTCTCTCCACCAAACTTTTTTATGGTGACACCCTTCCACATCTGTGAAGCCACGCTCTTCAGGACATGCTTATCACTCTCAACATTTTCTCTTGAGGCTGGCTTCCACATCTTCACAATGTCTTCGGCTGAGGGATGGTTGGTCTGCCACCCTTCTTTGGCAATCAACCTCGACACACTCCCGGCTGACGGCTTG